AAACTATATATATATATATATATAATATATAAACCATATATATATCCCACCAGGCCTGAAACCTGGTGGGAGTGGGCTGGTGGTGAGTCCTGAGGTTTAGCTGAACCTCCTTTTTAAAAAAAGCCTAGGACCAGGACTGTAAAAAGTGCGCGGCCGCGCAACCAGCAATCGGAGACATTAACCATTACCCAGGAGGCATTTAAAAAATTATATATATATGTATATATATTTTTTTTTTATTTCATTTTATTTTTTCAAATATTTTTTTTTTACACATTACAATTTAATGCATACCTGTAATTAAATTTGATATTTATGCCTGCTCCAAACCACTAAATGTACTACTGTTTAGCTATAATAGATAACATTTGGTGCTAGAGGCATTTAATCAAGATAATTTTCATGGTCGGAGGCACAAAAGTACTTTTTCCAGGCCTGCCTAGAAACATTGATCAAAAAAACCATAAATACAAATTAATTATTTTTTTAACTGCTGAAAAGCTTCACCTCCAGTAGGTTTTGACTGATGAGCCCCACATCACCTCTTCTCCTGGACATCTCTGACTTTCAAAGGAACCCCACCCCCTACCTTAAGAATCCTCGTTAAGGGCCTGTCTTTGCTGGTAACAAAAATAAGGCTTGGAAAATCTGCATTTAATTATTTTTACATGGTTTGAAAATGGTACAGACTGTTTCTGCATTGTAATCTATTGTTCCAATCTGACAGTAACTGTTATTGATATTCATTGCTAATTACAATTGATGATTTCTGATCAGATCGAATGAATAGTCTGTCAAATATAATAGAGATTAGCCCTAACTTGTGAATTTCACATACTCCTTTTAAAAACTGAAACAATTTTCTCTACTGCTTCCAACTTGGAAAAACTCCATGATCAAACTCATTGTCATATGTAATTTTCAGTAAAAATGAGTCACATTTGCACCAAGTTTTGCAAAATATTGATTAGCAGTTGAACAATATGTTGATAAGCAGTGTTTAGTTAAAACAGCTGTCAGAATCACAACTTCACACCTGGACCTTACTGTACCAATCCAAATATTCTTACAATGAAGATGGTGGTTAAATAGTTGCTACGGCAACTGAATATTGATAATTTTTTAAGTCATTGTTTGCGCTTGATCTCATGTTGCATTGCATGGGAACGCCCTGTGTGTATATAATAACACAAATGTGCAATACAGTAATTATGGATTATAATCAATGACAATGCTAGATCACCATCAGTGACAATTTCGAATGAAATGTACAGAAATAAGAGTAAGTATTAAACAGAATAATAACAACTGGTAATACTTGTCAAAGGTGAGGATGGTAAGCTTCCTTTTGTATTCACAATTATGTCCAAATAAAGTAGATTCTCTGATCTGCATGTTTTTGAAAATCTATTCTGCCATTAAACGTGAAGTGCTACAGTGGCAGATCCAGGAATTTGAAATAGAGGGGCTCAGAGTGGAACTTTTACAGATGGAGGGTTATACCAACCATTGTGGGGCTGAGGGAAGAAAATTTATGATTATGGCACCTCCGAGAGGCCGGAAAATGCACTCTTAGACTCAAAATTTGTGTAGAATTTTCTTTTTTTAACAATTTTTTTAAAAATTGAAAAATTTAGTGGGGGGGGGGGGGGGGGGGGCCGGCTGGGCTCCTTGAATCTGCCACTGTGCTAGACTGCATACCAAATTCAAATGAGACAAATTATTACGTGGGATGCATGCTGTGTTTGGGATCTAAATCTGAATAATTATACTCCGAAAAAACAGATCTGGATAATTATACTGTATTCTAAAAGACAGGTACAGTACAGTAAAATATAATGTTAGTATTGTAAACTTGGATTGTTTGCAATTTGTACTGCTTGTTTAAAGTAGTAGTTAGTAGTATTTTAATGAATTTTAGTTCACTTTTTGATACCAATTGCTTAATAAATCTTTAAATTGGTTGGAAATACTGTACGGTCAGAAATTTGATTGACAGTAATCTGTCAATCAGCAACAGCTGTCATCCAAAGTTTTAAAAAGTAAATTTTGAACCTTTTAATATCACATATCAGCAAATAAATCTATATTTTATAGATTTTTTTTTTTAAGATTGTAGATTTTACAACATGCCCCCTATGAACAATAATATAAGATTATAATTATTTACTATTGATAGTAACAAAAATGTTTTCGTTATATTTTAGGTAATGCTAATATGAAATACAGAAAAAAATAAAAAAAGAAAGACTACTGACAATAATACTCAGAAAAAAGGTGCAATGAGAATAATCAGAACTGTAGGCATCAATTTTACCAGTAAAAATAATGGGTTAACCAAAAATTGAATAAAAAAATACTTATAGGCCTACTGTAGGTACTGAACATCATTCTAGTCCATGCCCTAGGTTATGACTGTATGTATTGGTGTTTTTTTAAAGCCATTAAACCCCAATTAAAAGGGGTAACATCTCATGCTGCATGTGCTAGCTGGCTTTATAAGGACAAACTTACCAGTAAAAAAAATTGCAATTGGGAGAACACTGCTGTTGGTTTTTCACCTCCAATACAGCTTTGAAATTATATCTTAAAGTAATTGTTCTTTAAAATTTATTAATAAAATAAATTTAAAGTTGATCAATGATATCATGATGGAAGTGGCTTGGCGCAGCGGGAACCATTTGGTTTCCCAACTTCGAGGTCGGGGTTTTAATCCTTCGCCGTACATTTCAATTGCGTCCTTGAGCATGGCACTTTATCTGCATTGCTTCTCTCCACCCAGGAGCGTAAATGGGTACCTAAGGCGGTCAGAGTGCAAAATGCGCTGAAATATTTCATGCAGCAACTATGGAATATTCCCCATAGGCATTGTTTCAATGACTGGGGAAAAAATGTGGAAAAGCGCTCTAAAACTTAGCTGTATAGAGAACTATATAAAAACCTTCCTATTATTATTATTATTATTAATTCACTCATTATCCATTTCAGTCTTAAAATTGAACTGAAATCATAACTGAAATATATAAAATATAATTGTCACATTAAAACTACTAGTTACTGTTTCTTATAAATAAAAAGAGACCAGTATTTTGCAAAACTTCCATTTTTTAGTTTCTATCTATCCCAAAACTATAGATATACTGGAAATGTTCTTTCTTGTTTTCCGAAAATATTAAAAAATATATTCCCTCAAATTTGTGTATCGCATAGCAACGCATGCGGGATCTCTCATTATCTCGAACGATCACCGTTAGGAAATAAAATACAAAAGTACTTAGCATTAACATGAGATGGTCTATTGTGTGTATGAATTCTATTTCACTACTCAGTAGGCGTACTACAGTACATAGCTTCAGGCATTATCACTCTACACACAGTTAGTAGGCAATCATCATCATTTTTAATCTATCAATGTATCATTGTAAAATCAACATGTAAATACAATGTACTGTATTTGTACATGTACATACTGTATTTGATACTGAACCAACATTTACTCTAGAACAATATATATTGTCTTTTTGTAATAAAGATGACCAAAGAGTTATAGTAGAGTATTCTTTACACTATGTACTGTAATTATCTTAAATAAGAGTAAAAAATGTGTATAATACAATGATTTGATGGATGCAGTATGTGGCTTGTTTTATTTGCCACTGTTTCACTTGACTCTGAAGATGATGAATAATATCAATAAAAAACACTATAAAAAGTTTGAGTGTGTGACTGTATCGTTTTCAGTCAGTAACAGAATACACAAAAATTTGTAGACTTGAAGAAGATGAGGATGTATTATAAAACATGATGTGTTTAAATGATACACTTACATTGACTAAATGAGTAACACTGCAGTACATGGTACTGTCTCCTGTAGTGTAATACTGTACATGCCAAAAAAGTGTAAGGTTCCAGAAAGAGGATGGTGACTACTCATACAGTATTTACCAATGACGGAGTATTTGAATGCGTGCCTAATGAAAATTTGAGAGTGACAATCGCTAGACCATCATAAAGGATATCTTCAGCTAAGAAATTCATGGTCGTGTTTGAAATAGTACCATTTTGTGTAGCTTTTCTAATTGGTTTTTTGGATGAATGTGATAAAATTGAGACAATGTTATTGTGGAAGGTTCTCTACAAACATACTACAGTTGTACCACTACCATTTGCATTACACACAGATTTTACTGGGCACAATTTTTTTTTCTAGGCCTGATTAAAGGTGTCTATATCGTTTAGGAAATCATTTTTTCCACAAGTCGGCCCATAGTGTGTGTATGTGTTTAATGTACTTTAAACATTTTCGTATGATATACAGTGATACTATATATTTACTAATTGTTTCTTATTATCTTCTTCTTATGATATGTAGTATATTTTAATTTTTTTTAGCAAATTTAAGGAAGTGAAATTGGTTAACGTTTTCGTATGATCTGCATATTTACTAATTGTTTTTTGTATGATATGTTTAAATTTTTTTAGCAAATTTAAGGAAGTGAAATTGGTTGTTTATGCATAACAATATTCTAAAATATTTTCCCTACCATAAATGCAAATTATATTGATAAAAAAAATTCAAAACATTAATTTTTTTAAAAATATTTATCAAATATTTCTTGTAATTTTAGTATTAAAAGTGACAAAAAATATTACATTCAGATTGTAGTCGTATATGGCACACGGTAATAAAATATGCTTTATATACTATACACACAACAGTAAATTAGCATTTCTCAAATACTGTAAGCACCACAATATTTTTAAGCTCTCCTCTGACGATCTTTCAAATTGAAGTTCATTTCTGTATACTACATTAAGAAAGTTGTCTAAATATGAAAATGGCTTCCTAAACTTATGATGCAAATAAGGACTGGTATGCCTATTAATTTCTGTGAAATTATTTATGTATCTGATATTTATATACTACATACATAGATTCTGGGCATCTGATTGGTTAAGAATTAAGCCTAGGCCTACTTGGTGTGTACTATTTTCACTATTATTTTAGGTCTCGTAGAATCTGTGTATGACCTATATAAAACAAATACTGTATTGACTGCCCTAGATTCGGAGAATGGTGAAATCTATAGCCCCTCTGTGACGTGAAAACATAGTTTATCTTCAATCGGGCCCTTGTGAAGATAGGCTACATGGTCTCCACATCACCTCAGGGCAATAAATTTTACCATTCCCCTCATGAGCAGTCAATATTTGTATACTATCACATGCCAATACGGTGGCCCGGCTAACACGTATTTTAATAACTAAACATGCTGGGCATACATTGAAATCCGAGTGTTTAATTAGTAGAATATTTTGATACAAATCCATCTCCTTGTGTTCAATTGTCTTCATGTTAATGACCTCCGAAATTTGATATCTACAGTAAGCCTATTATTAACACATTTTGGATCAATACTTTGAAGATCCGTTAGTCATGTAGAATTTTGTGTACGCCCTTCATACAGTAATTTGACTTGGCTACTTAAAATTTTATTTGTAATCTAGGCCTAGAGATACATTTTGAATCAATATTAATAGCTGATATATATAGAAATGTTCTGCCTTTTTGAAATGTACTTTAAACCAAATAAACAACATTTTATATTTGCCTGTACAAAGCTTTGTCCACACTTTCACATTTTATGTGACAAATCTGTGTGATGTGCCCATATATGGGCATGATAATGTCTTATTACACCCAAATATGGGTATATCACAGTTTTTTAATTTGTATTTCCAAAACATGTATTTTTATCTATTAATACTCTAGGTTCTTAGCATTAACTCGATCATTTTTGCTTGATCAACTTTTCTATGAAATCATCAATTTACACATGTACAAAAGTATTTTCTGTATTAGAAATTTAATATTAGGCCTACTGTAAGGTAATATATTGATAATGTGTTTATATTTGTTTTTAAGAGCATACTGTATATTTTCTTCTACATCCATTGCTCTACTCTCACTGAGCCAAATAAATTCTTCAAGAAAATGTTAAATTTTTCTATGTGATGCAAATATTAAGCGAGGTTTTAATACTTGACCAAAGTAATATTATTTCATTATAAAAAAATTTGAATTATCTGTCGAAAAACAAAAACTATTGTCTAAATACTGTACAAATAACAACATCTGGATTTCAAATTTCGGTAGATACCGTATTGCGCAATAAAAAAAACACCTTGCATCCAATACTTCATAACTGTGACGCATTTTAAATCACTGTAATGTACCACAACCAATCACGTACCATGTTACAGTAGCCCAACCCAATGATGAGTAATTGACCAATAATAGTCATTGTTGATAAATGTTTCAAATGTTTCCAAGCATATACTGACTTTTAATATTGTTTCTTTCAACATGTAATATTTGAAATGAGTGCGTAAAAACATAATATTGTTATTTAAACAACTAAAGTAATATTGTATTTTTATCTGTTAGATTTATGTAAGTGTATACTACTCGCAATTTCTTTGGATACTGAAAAAAATAATAAATAATTTCAATACCTACTGCAGCATATTCAGGTGATAACTCTATGTGCGAGATGTTTTTAATGGTTTTAGATGGATTTGTATGCAATTGGTCAATGGTTGTTAAGTGGCACTTTAACGTTAACACTTGATAAATGTTGAATGGCTGATAATAAATTAAACGCTGACTGTGGACTACCGTAACTCATTCATTTTCTAGAGGTTTGCAGATGACATGGAAGTTGACTATTAAAATATACTTGCCATATGCAAACCTTCACAAAATATTTTATTAAAATCTTTATATTACATTAATGAATGGCCTTACCTATGCAAGATTCCAGATCTGAGGCTGGTACGGTCGTGTTGCGGTAGTATCCATCCACGCAAATCTCGCAGAATTGTCCCAGTGCGTTGTCATAGCAATTCTCGCAAATGCCGTGTCCAAGGGTTTCATTGTAGTGACAACTGTCGGCATGGTTATTGCAGTTGCACACTGGGAAGAGAAAAAAATCGTATCTATTCTTAGAAAATATCTGCAACATAAATTTTTTTTGAAGTATTCTGTTTGAAAAGTTGGCTAAAGATTGACATCAAGAGATGTTTACTTTTTCGCCGAGTTCATGTACAGGTGTAAAACAGGTGGGCCTGCGGGCAGCATGTGGCCTGACTGTGACTTTGTTGCAGCCTGCAAAAGTAAATTGAAAACCCATGCGTACAGCCTGCTAACATCTTTGGCTTGATATCCCTTTGTTTTTTACGGCCAGACACCAAACCAAAAAATAAAAGCATAGGCTTTACTGAAAAATCAAAGTTTGAGTGTGGCCCTTGGTGTTAAATCAAAAATTCAATTTGGCACTCCGACCCATTTTTATGCCTATCCGGGGAACTGATGTTAACATAAAGTTGGTTACTTGTTTTAAAAGTATAATGCATCCAGGGTTAAAGATCTATTATTACATGTAATCAATATGAAGTCCTAATAAAATACAGTCATATAACATAATAATAATACACAAGCACACCTTACAAAGCACTTGAACGAGTACAGGGTATGTATATACATACCCTGTACTCGAATAGCTGAATATTTATATTCAGCTGTTTTCCTGCATAGATGGAGCTTTGAGTCACGCATGCTACAAGAAGCTATACACTAGGTCGTCAGATTAAAAAAAAATTATTTGCCTATCAAAATAATGTTATTTTGACTGCCAATCTCTAATATTGTGGTTTACAAGCACATTTTGGACCATACTGTACTAAGCCAAAAAACTCTCACATGGAAATTTTTATTCTGGGCCGCCGACTGAGGCTTTGCCAGCCCCTTGGCTCAGACCCCTCCGTCGGACATGTCGGACTCCTCGTCTGCAAATTGCTGGCGCCACCGCGGCTGCTATGGAGTGCAATGTCATTAGATGTCATGGTACAGTTGTAGGCTACTGCTGCATGCGGCGTTGCTTTAATACAGAACAATTAAAATCTATTATAGTTAAAAGATTACTAATTTTGTAGAATATAGGCCTATTCACTTTCATATGTTGGAGGTGTACATTACTGTCCCTCTCATAATTTTAGAGGAAGTACTGTACAGTATAGTACCACCTCTAGGTAGATTTTTCAACATACACTGTCACAGGTCATTGAACATATAGATTGTTTACTGGTAGGCATGGCAATAAAAAATAACTTTGATCAATGAACCATTTTACAATCCCCATAGAATGAGGAAATACTGTTAGGCTTTGTATTAAAAACAATGACAGTAGCCAAATACAGCAATGAGTAAAGGACACTTCAAAAACAAGCAAGCATGGTGTGTCTATTATTATTATAATAATATAAATTTTTTTTATCAGAATTTAATATCGAATATTATTTTTGTTTCTCAACAAAAGTTTGCAAATATATATCCCCTTTATGCACCTTCTGGAAAAAAAATAGTTGTACTACTGAACATCCCAAAGATTAAGAGCAAACATAGCTAGGGAGATCAGGCTCTTTAGCACTGCCAGGCCAAAGGTTCTGGAATAAACTTCCTCTGAACATAAGGCCTAAAAAAAATATTGTTTGTTTGCCCTTCGGCGCCCGCCCCTAGCTCACAGAAAAAAATGGGGGCAGCTTTTTTTTTTTTTTTTTTCACAAATTTTTTTAAAAGTGATCTTTATTTGTCTCCATTTTGTGCAAGAAAGTTGTCGGAATTTGGTTTCTGATGTCCAGTAAGGTATCGCCATTCTAGGATTAAATTCATAGCAAAATATCAATTAAATGGGTTATTTTTATTCAGTCTATGAATCCCTTTAAAAAACAAATAGTTAGACAGGCTTAATTGCAAGCATTGCGATTTAGTATGTTAATTTTGGTGACAGGAGAAAATAAAAACAAAAAACAAACAAAAAAACTTCTCAAGATGCACCTTTATTAATAATTGCTTTTTTGGAAGGTACCACAAGCAAATGACTGTTGGAATGGCGACATATAAATGTAGCGATTGATTGACTGATTGCTACATTGATAATATTATTAAGATAAGATAAGATACAGGTTTTTGAAAAATTTAAATTCTGGGGCAAAAGGGTGGCTAACACTCTTCCACCACCCCTGGTTTTTAAACTTTAATTTGATTTTGCTGTTAAACACCACTTCAGTATGTTAGAATTATCAGTTTTTCCTCCAGAAAATCATTATGAATAGTCATATATACATACACAAAGAGGTTCTAAAAGATTTGACACAATAATCATTGGCTTTGGTGCATGATTCTGTCTATTTATATATAATCTATATATATTTAGAGTTGGTTGAATTGTTATGATTCTTATTGGACTAGAGTAGTTGTTTAATTCTTGGAAATTTTATATTGTGATAAAATAAATTATGCTTTTTGGCAAATTTTTGAATTGACTGGATATTATTAAGTCCTGTTCAGACTATCAAATTTTAATTGACAAAAACATGTGACATGCCTAAATATGGTCATGATGACATCACACCATGACCATATATAGGCACATCATGGCTATATTTGGGCATACAACATTTTTATGTCAAAGAAAATTTTTTAGTCCGGACAGAGCTTTAATCTGAGACATTTTAAAACGCAAGCTCGGTGGTCTAGTGGTTAAGACATCAGGCTAGTTATCTGGAGGTCATGGGTTCGATTCCCACCCGAATCACATGCAAAATTTTTTTCGATAGTATTTGGGGGCATATTGAGTATTCGGCATGATAACACGTCAGGTAGGGCATTAAACATCCCTCTTATATTTTCCTGACGCAAACTAACACACTAACATAATATTTTATATCATTATGTATCCATTAGTGTGTTTGTTAGTGATGTGCTGTGAGAAAGCTGTCTGACAGCAGATGTTGAGTCTTGCTTTGGCTGCCTAGCCAGCCAGCCATAGTTCCAAGTGTTTTGTTTCTTTGACATTTTACTGAATGACATAAATGATAAATATGATATAGAAGGAAAAGCTCATCATCTGGATTGAGGTGTGAAATTTTGCTTCGAGCTACAAGTTAATAAGATAGTTGCTTCATATATAGATTAAAAAATTGTAATGACTTAGTAACAAATTGTAATGACTCAGTAACAAAAAAAAAATTTTGAAAAAAAAAATTCATAACCCATTTTTTATAGGTAGTTATAGATATTGCTTGTATTATCTCAACCATGTATTTTACTTTGTATATCAAAACACCAGCAAACAACCCAAGGGTGAAACTGGCTTTAGCAAAATAAAAATAAAAACCTCCCTCCCTCATCTCTTTTCCAACCTAGATAGAGTGATAAAATAATAGTTTTTATTGGGCCTATACATTTTTAAATATGTGCAGAAATTTCACATATTTTGACATTTCTATATACCAGTATTAAATTGAAAACTCACTCTGGCATTCATTAGCTGTGCCCGTAGGATAAGGAATGTACGATCCACGTTGCCAGGGGCGGTTGTTATAAAGCGGTTGACAAATCTCGCAGTTGTATCCCATTGTGTTATGGTTACAAACACATGATACCACGTTATCTGCATCCTCCTCGCAGAACTGACCATGAAGATTACAATCGCAACTGAATAAAAAGAAAAGAAGATAAGGCAAGACATTTTTATACCTTCATTTTCTATATTATTTTAAAGATCGTCAGAGGAGGGTGGAAAAAAATTTGTTTTCCTATGGCAAATGGTTTTGCCAAAAACATCCCGACGGAAGCAAAAATAAATTAAAATTTTATTGTTGAAATTAAACAGTGTACAGTAGTAAAGGAATGCTTTAAATTTATATTATTCGTTAGAAAGTAATTTGTTAAGATTTCAAAAAAGAAAAATTTTTGTTCCGAAAATTTCCATTTTTTCATGGCAGCGGGTTTGCTATATTGTTCAAAAATAAAATTATATTTTTATTAAAAATCATCTAGTGGGTGGCGTGTACGATAAACAAGGTATAAAAAATCTTGCCAAACTACCATTAACTTGTTAGAGTACAGTATGAGACGCTGATTACAATTCTGCAGGGTGTAGGCATACTGTAATTGAAGCAGTCATGGTACAGAATGTGTTTGACAAGGGGTCCACTGAGGGTCTTTTGTTTACCAAAAATGTTGTATGCCCATATATAGTCATGATGCACTTATATACGGTCATGATGTGATGTCATCATGACCATATTCAGGCATGGCACATGTTTTTGTTAAATAAAATTTGATTTGGACAGGGCTTAGGTTCAAAGGATTAAATCAATATCATTTGGACACATAACAAGATTGTTTAATAATGGGGAAGAGGATTAAACCAATACCTTTCAGTCTCGTATTACCAGATTGTTCAATGGGGGATTAATTTTTCTAAATCCACATAGAAATCAAGATGAATAGAATGGGAGAGGCTCGAATAGGAGGGGTACACCTGTTAAGTGTTTGGGAAATTTCTAAATCTTCACTACAGAAACAGACAATTTTTAAAATGTTGTTATTGTAGAATATTAAAGTTTGTATGATAGCAGAATTGTTTGTTGGTAGTTCATACTGTATACAGTACTGTCTGGACACAAATATGGTACTCTCATTAATATTGTGAAATTGAAGCACACAGTTTAAAATAAAAGTATTTATTAATATCTTTTATTAGTATTATTGGACTGAAAATATCTGGGGGGCTTCTACGGGTTATGGGACTGTCCAGTATATTTCCCTTACAAAAAAAAATAAATAAATAAATTTTACAAATATTTCAAGGGAAGAGTTGTTTTGGTTGTGAGAAAAAATTGAATCCAGTACCCTGCGATAGAAAGGCAAACTATAAAACTAATAAAAACTTACATAACAAAAGCTTCAACATTTGAGATGGCATAGTAATACTGTAATAAATAATAAGGCTGTGCTGTCCACTCCAATCCATTAGTAGCAGGGTACAACAACCGAATACGTAAATCAGTTATCCTTTGGAACTCTTGCAAATCGGTATTAAGTTCATACGCAGCGTAAATATCACCCGGTAAGGGACTATTGGTTAGTAGTCCAAGTCGTGCTTGCATCGGAAAAATAATCTGCCCATTGGAATAAGGCAGCTCTCCGCTATACTGTTCAGAACAGATCACCTCTGTTGGCGTTTCTATTTCCGTATTTTCTTTTGCGATCATTCCAAATTCTGAGCAGTCCTGTGCATAGTATTGATACGGTTCCCACGTTAAGCCGTAGTCACTGGATTTCTCAAGGACCATCATTTGTGGCCTTCCCGATTGGAAAACTATCATTATATCACTGTTTAACAAGTACGTGTGATTAAATTCTAATGTTACGTTCAGGTGCAAAGGTACGGGATAGTCGTACCAGGATATCGACTGCCACCACGTCACTTGACTTAAGTCTTGCGAAGGTTCATCATATATGTTTTCAGGCGGATGCGCAAGGGAATCCATTGTTGCATCACATGAACCACATTCAATTTCCAAATTCTATCAACAGAAGAAAATCAACATACCATGAAAGATACTGTAAGAATTTTCTGTGTAGATGAAGTATGATAAAAAAAAACCCCCATAAATATTAAAGGCTTTCATCATTCACTTTATTAGTGAATGATGAAAGATTATTTTAGGGTTATATAGAGATTCAGATACTTATTCAATTTTATTTGTCCAATATGTAAATAGCTGAGCACAGTTTCGGGTCATTAAAATTTTTATAAAAACATTTGTTCCATATAGATAAAATGTACAAAATAATGGCAAGTAGAATACTAAAAACGAGAACCCCCGGAAAACCCACAGAAATGTGTTTTTCTATTATTAACTCTGTGTTTTGGTGCGCTATTTATAATAAAATCATCAAGTGGTTTGGAATGTAGGCAGATATTTATGGGGGTTCGCTAGAGATTTTCACTGAAACTTTTTCTCACAAAAATTGTCATAGCGCCACTGAACATTGCATTTTGCTGTTGCTGTGGAGATTGGCATCATAAAAATCCTTGCTGATTCATTGACTGAATATTAACAAAAATAAATTTTTAAAAATTTGGTCTCGGGTATGCTCTATGGTACTGTACATAAAATTTATGGTTTGGTTGTTGTAGGCAGAAGTTTGCTGGGATTTATAGGAGGTTTGCAAATCAGGTTTTTTTTTTTTTATGATGTTATGTTAGCTTACATTTTTATTTAAATTTGGTCATTCAGTATGATGTTCTACAGTATTCTACATTATATAGCCGTTATAAAATAGTTTGGTTGATGTACTGTACTGTAGGTGGAGGTTTACAGAAGTCATGGTTTTAAGTGACCTTGTAAGCGCCGTGCAATACTGTAACTGGTTAGATATACACACCTCAGAAGCATTTTAAGAACAAACAAAATTACCAATTATTTTTTCTCTTCTAGACAACCACTGAGACGAGACTCCTTTTATACTTGTTTCGCGAAATTATTTTTTTTAAAGATCGTCAGATGAAAAAAAATAAAAATTTAACATTTTTTTTCTTATTAATAGCAAATAGTTTTGCCAAAAACATCCGAAAGGAGGAGAAAATAATAAAAATTATTGGTGAATTTAAACAGTGTAGTATAAGATGGTTAAATGCTTTTGATTTATATAGAATTAGGGAGAAACACATAATATTTTTTGAAGATTTCAATGCAGTGGGGCGTAATATATATATTTTTTAATTTTATAAATTCTGAAATCTCAATTTTTTTCTTGGCGGTGGGTGCGAAATCATCATTACTGGCAGGTGGCGGGTTCGCAAAACAAGGTATAACAAAGTACAGAAAACAATTGGTGCTGGAGCACTTCATAAAGATAACTTTCATGGCCATACATTAGGTATGTGTCTAAATTACTCAACATTGGATGATGCTATCATCTACACTATAACCTTCGTTTTCCTAATTTATAATAAATCAACATAATTGATAAGCGTTTGATCATAAAAACCATCTTTCTTTCTGGTACAATACACCTAATATGAAATTCTAAGGCCTGAATATTGAATAGACATTGATTGATAATCTTTCACATTTTAGATGACAGCTGTTGCAGGGCAGTGTGTTTTGTAAGGTTGAAGGCATTTAATAGGCCTAACTACTGGTATACAGTAGCACAGGCCATCATGAAGGAAAAAATATTTTAAATGTTCATATAATACTATCCTGTACATAGTTCTGTGTTAAATGCAGTGTATTAAATTTTTTGTGGCCTTTTTGATGTGGTTATCTGTAAATGTTTTAATATTGTACTTATAGGATACACTACCTTAATGGTGTGTGCCACCGTTAAATACATGTACTCCAATAAATTTGAATTCTGAACTCTCTGAAGTATGTGTGGCTGGCGCCATAACTGCATAGGAAGCAGGCTCAAAAGAAACACACGGCAGCAACTGACGGCATCAGAGATTCCTCAACATGAGGTCAAAAAAGGAATAATAGGCAACTCTAGACAGTTGGAGAGTCTAGAAAATTGCTGACAGAGGTCCCAGGGAGGACCAAGCCAAAGGAGCCGCCAAGCCTCAAGAATTTTCCCTAAGTCCCACTGGTGCTACTGACTGTAAAAGGCAGACTTTTCCCCAACGGTGGGGTCCAGCGTTTCATGACAGAGGTCATGACTCACTAGCTGCTGCCGCTGCTAAAATCAAATTCAATATTTCTTGTAAGAAAGGAAAAAACGATTACTGTACTCACAAGGGTACAAAATATTCTTCTTTGCGGATCGCTGCTATATCCACACGTTGCATTTTCTGGTTCCACAATAGGATCAATGCGTAACAAATATAAAGCCTCGGTACTTCCCAGGCACGCGTTATATTCTATCGTTCCATTAATATCCACAGACTCGCAAGGCTGCGTCAGCTGACCTGAACTAAGGCACACTTGTAATATGAGTATAAAAAGCACTGGCCCGTGGAAATTGTTCCGTAAAAAAAATGTTTGGCTTAAACGTGGCAAACACGTTAAAACTGTACTCTGCATCTTGATGACAGGTTAATAAAAAAAAAATTTATAAAAAATCGTCTGTACTCTTGGTTTGGTGATTAGCACCTTTTGTTACTGTTTTTAAAAAAAAATGTTTTGTTGAGTCACGTATGTTGAGACTGGAAGCCCATCGTCACTTTAATAGTAATGCTGCAGTTGGTACAAATTGTAGTTTTCATCAGTGCATCATTCTGAAATTAAAAATAGCATTATTTAATAGTAGATATAGATCCAGTGTAGATCACTGCCTTGTTACTGTAATTATCAGGATCAGTTGACTAATATAAGGCCCATTAAATAATTATTTAGTTTATAATCAACCTATCTAGGCTGGAAAAGTGATGAGGGGGGGGGGGAGAAGGCTTTTTATTTTTATTTCACTAAAGCCAAATCACCCTTTGGTTGTTATCTGGTACATTGATATTCAAAGAAAAATACATGAGTGAGATAATATAAAAAAATATATACTATTTACTTCAAAATGAAAAAACTAATTAAAAAAAAAAAGATTTTTCCAAATTGTTTTTTTTCAATACAAAATTTTATAGGGCCTAAGAGATATTTTATTTAAAAAAATGAACAGTAGCCACTTAAAATTCACTGGTTTAGTAACTGAAGTCTAATTAATGGATCTATAACATCTCAAACTATTGAAAATAAAATACTTATTAATAATAAAACATGCAAAAAAAAAAAAAATAAATAAATAAATAAATAAAATAAAACAAACTTAACAAAACAAAAAAAAAATTTAAAAAAAAATTTAGATAATTACTATCCACTGACACTGTTGGGAAAATGAGAGGACATTTCTCTCTCTCTCTCTCTCTCCCTCAAGTCAATTGAAATAAATAAACAAATCAGCACCATATAAAAAAAGTTGCAACTGAGACCAGGGAATTCTAAATTACACTAACAACCTCCCTGCTTAGAAAGCCATAGCCTAGCCTATTTTAAATTGATAAGTACTAGTAGTAGTTTTCTTTACACTAGGCCTAAGTAGAGATATTGTGTTTATTAATTTATTATTGTTTGTCAAGGTACGCTACTGATAAAAGGTTAAAGCCTGCTGTATTTCACCATTCAATACCAGGGAAGTGATAAATAGGTCTGATATAGCACCTCCTTACAAATGGAGTACTGTGGAACGTAGCATTGTTCAATATTAAGCATGAATTTTTAAGACCAGACTTATGGATCAAGCCAGCGTTCCAACAGGTTGCACTGCAGCTCAGATGTAAGCCGATGACTAGGGCCTAGGCTATAATAATGTGTGGGTGCTATTATAGTCTTATTCTAAACACATTAATTGTAAATACCGAAATACAAACAAAAAGAGCATATTCTATTATCAACTTATCTGAATCTTACTTTTATAACGTACTTACCCACCATCTTCCCATGTTTTAGCGGTTTGTATTTTTGTCGGGGACGCTCTCTCCATGAATGGAGCATTGCTCTCAACTTGTTGAGAAAATATCGATCACTGATTGGTTCTCCGCGTTTAGTCATAAATTCAGCCCTCCCCCTAGTAAAGAGAATAGTATTTGCATCAGCAAAAATTTTGAATTGAATTTATTCGGAATCATTTACGAGATAAACATTACACACATTAAAAAACATCAAGTTACCAAATTACATGGAGATAGATAAAAAGGCCCGAAGCCAGAAGTTTAAAAAATGCAGTAAATATATAGGCTTATCATTTGTTAATAGTTAAAATTGTACTTACTTTCCCTATTATATTTATATAAATTATTATAAGAAAGTATAATACATACTCCAAGTATTGAAATACACGCCATCGTGTTGGGATTCAATATTTTGACATTAATTATGTCATCATCAGGAATGATGATGATGATAAACACAATATCTCTACTTAGGCCTAGTGTAAAGAAAACTACTACTAGTACTTATCAATTTAAAATCATTCCTGATGATGACATAATTAATGTCGAAATATTGAATCCCAACACGATGGCGTGTATTTCAATACTTGGAGTATGTATTATACTTTCTTATCTGAGATTAATCAGTGGACCATAAATTATTATGATCTTTATTATAAGCCCCTCCAACGGAATGATGGGGATGCTTAACAACCCATTTAAGTCCAAGATGACATATTTCCAATGGGGTCTAATAAAACCATCACTTAATAGAAGAGTGTATGTAAAAAAGGTCATAAAAAGTAAGTATGAAATTGATAAAAAGTTGTAATATTAAAAGATAAAGGTAAAAGTACAAAACATGAGCAGTCTCTATTATTGAAGGCTCTTGCTTTAAGGTATTTTTTAATTTTAATCTTAAATCAAGTGAGGGACACCTTTTAATTTGTTGATAAAATATAGTTCTGTCTATTCACTAACTTTATTGATACACTACACTAAAATACAAAGAAAATTAATTTTGTCTTTGATTTTTTTTAAATTATTGTACAGTATTTACATGAAGTGACAAAATAAATAAAATGAAATCATTACTTAGGCCTATGAATAATACTGGAGGGTTGAAATAGTTAAGATAGGATAGCGCACATCTTTCAGATGAGACGTTTGCCTTTAATCGTGTGTAATATCACCCATGTGAACGTTAAAATACTCAGTACACTCTTCGGATCGAAAAAAAGGGATTGTCTCCCGGTGTACATCCCAATTCAGCACCCAAAGGAGAACCCCACTGGAAAGTCTTTGTGGGTTATCCCTGTGTGTGATTCAAGTCAAACACCTATCCTATCCTATAAATGCTATAAGTTTGCAAGATTGAATTTAATGAAGTTAACAATTTTTTTTTTCAATTTTATTCATAAAATCTGGCAAATTTTGATGTTCCCGAGTTCGATTTATACTGTTTCTACATTTTGCCTGCAGCTACTTCGTATTTTTCTAATTTTATAATATAATGATATGATAAAAATCGGAAGGTTTCATTTATGTATAAACTATTTAAAAAGATAAAACATTTCAATCTGAAACATCTCAAAGAGTATTTGTATTCGCAGATTTAAGACATTTTTACTACAAAAATAGCTAAAATTTTTTTCGTCCGTTAATTGGAGGGAAAATAATTATTTTTCTTATTTATTTATTTTTTATTGTAATTTAATAAATTAAATTTCTTCTAGCTCATTACATGTCTATTACATCTTTAATACAGTAGAACCCTCCTTTTGGGCACCCATATTTCGGGGACACCCCAATTAGAGGGCACTTTTCGTGAAATGAGGCGGAATATAATATTATTATTATTATTAAATACTACAGCCAGCCACTATAGGGAGACACTCGACAGGGGATGGGGACAATTTTTGTGTAAATTGGTAAATTCAACACATATTTAACCCCAAATATTACGGAGACACTAAACTATCCTGTCAAATAATACTTCATTCAAATTTGTATTTTTAACAAAAATTCAGCCACAATTTTTATTTTAATCCTTTTCAAAGTAGTTTCTTTATTATTGATTTGTACCGTAATTAAACCAAAATTATAAAGACTTGTTTTATGTACGACTTTGTGATAAAAATGCATATAATACAATTTCACCTTTTATGTCGGTTTCCCCTAAATAGGGTTGCCATGAGGACATCTCATTTTTATTAAAGGGAACACTTTTGGTCCCAAGAAGGTTTGATTGTTTTGGGAAAAAAAATGTAGGCTGTAGAGGGCGTATTTCAAAATGGCAACTCGCATGGTAAGAGTGCATGCTCGAAATTGTATACGATTATCCGGGGGAAAGAACGAGTTTAAAAGGTTGGTTATAATGCTAAATTGTACTAAGCTCTTTAAACTATTTAACAATTTACATGAAAGTATGGCGAGTGTCCAGGCGTCCATTATAGACGTTTGTTTCAATGTAGAGACTATAGCCTAGTATAGTAAATTGTTGACACAACACGCTACTGCACTGCTTCATTCAGGCCACACACGTCACACTACAGGACAGGTCAGGCCTAACCAAGGCTAGGCTAGCCCGAAACGATTGCTGCATGCAATACCACAGACGTGTTTATAAGATCTTTGATGTATACTAAGCTATTGTAAAAAGCCCAAAAGGTACTTACCGGTATCGGTATTAGTTTCCCGCGTAGGGCTGAATACAATAGTATTTACACGTCTGTGTGTGTACAGCATGAGCTCTCGACTTGAAGTGCCGTCCTTTCTCCAAGGGATTACCCGAGTCGGCCGTTCAGTGCGCATGCCCGTAGATACGCCGGTTTGCACAGGTGAGCTAACCCAGGTAATCTGGAGTCATTGCAGGGTGACCTCCAGGGGGTCGTCACTACAGTAGACTGTTGTTATTTTACAGTCTAGCTAGTGGTAGTAAATAAGCACTTTATGCTTCTTTTTACCACTTCTGTCTGCCCAGAAGTTAATGTACTGTAAGTCTAAGGGATTGCCACTTTGAAGTGTAATTAATTAAGAAAAAAAAAAGACCCATTCATCATTTTTGACTTTTCTAATTGTGTCCATGGCATGGTTTTTCAAATACATTATAACATGTTGACTGCCATGCCATGCCTTTTTTCTTTGTTTGATCCAATACACCAAGGCATAAGGGTGCCACCATAATGAAAATCATTTCCGTCAACTGCAGTGAAACACGAACAAACATAAGGTAGTTATTTTAGATCATTACTTCCAGGTCCTTCCCTGAACTTCCAGGGCAAGTGTTTGTATTCTGGCGACCACTTTCAGTCAGTTTTTTGGTCAGGTGTGTACGTGAACTCGCGTCCTTGGCGCTCTGAATGAACCCTGTTGGACGTGAAATCACATCCCTGGCGGGCAAACGTGTAAATATGTAGGCTACAGATTCAATTTTACATTGATTTTCCTTCTGTAACAGATGCAGTGTAACAGGACTACGCTCATTCTGCAGTTCATATGGACAAGCTGGGAAAACTTCCCTGTGTCATCCTCTTCCTGGCATTCCATCCCCTGTGTATGCCACCGTTACAGATCATTCCTGTGATACGCAAGTAACAACGTTAGAGAATGGGATGAGGGTCGCATCACAGAATATGTTTGGCCAGTTTTGTACTGTTGGTGGTAAGTTACGTGGCCAAAAGTTTTACTCGTTCTATGTGTCATTAACAGATTATCTTGACAAACACCAACTTTTCTACACATACGGTACCAATCCGCAATACGTATTGGACAAAGTAAAGTAAGACAGCATTTGCCGTAAATGATATTTTGCATGTAGTTGTCAAACACAAGCACAATGCTGTTGCATTGTGCAGCTGTCACCTGGCAAAACAACGTAATTCACATTTTTGTCAATTTGGAGGTAATATCATTTGGGAGTATAAAACTCCTGAATTACTGGTACCTCTGAAAATTCCAGGTTTCAACAATGAGTTTTCACTTTATGCTTGAAAACATAAAATCCAGTTATTTTCCATGGTAAAACAATGTAACTGAAAGATTACGGGGCAGAAGATACATTGTTTTCCCTCGGAATAGTAAATTATTTTTTGCTGATGGGGTTTGGGACAAAAAAATATGTTGTTCTGCCTTAGATTTAGAATGACATGCTATTTTGTCTGTTCAATTATTTGTCAAGTACTTTGAGGGTACATTACCAAATGCTCTCACAATTTGGCAAAAAAAGTACATGCCATGGAACAAAAGATAACAAATTGATTTTCCTCTCTTGTATAAAGTTTTGATTGATTCAGGGTCACGATTTGAGCTGCCTTATACTTCAGGGATATCTCACTTCCTTGAAAAGCTAGCCTTTGGTGTAAGTACATCATTTCTTATTAAGTTTACCATGCAGTGCTATGTTGTACAATAATATATTAAACATAAAGTATGAAAATTGTATGTTTCTGCCAGTTTGAATGTAGACTGTAGGTTGATACATCACAGAACCATATGACACTGCTTCATTTTAAATATTTCCACTTTTTAATCTGTTATATATTGTATACAGTATTTGTTGCAGTGTTAATTTAGCTGTCATGTCAATCAAAATATATGGACCAATCAAAAGTTCTTGAATCTTAGAATTAATATATTTCTTTTGAAATGATTAAATAATAAATCACATAATCAGATAACTATTTACACAAAAATTAAATAATGCAATTGTTTACATCTCAAAATTGTTAATTTTATTTGATTTTCTTTTATTACAGTCCACAGAAAAATTTAAAGATAGAGATGAAATTTTAAAGCGATTAGAAAATTATGGTGGAATTTGTGATTGTCAGACATCAAGGTAAACAAAAATAATTGTTTCTTTTTCATATTCATGCTGCTCATCTCACTTTAAAACAAATTAATATAAAAGCATGTACAGATTAGATCACAGAAGAGACCTGGCTTTAAAGTACTTTTTGTTGAATTTGTTTTGGTTCTAGGGATACAATGGTGTATGGCATCTCAGCCGAGCGGGAAGGCCTACCTGAAGTCATTGATATATTATCAGAAGTTGTACTCAGACCTAGAATAACAGATGCAGAGGTACCGCTAGCGTATTGTAATCATGCTTTTGGCTAAGTGTTTGGGATTTTCCTTTATAGCATATCATAAAATATGGCAGCTTCCCACCAATAGGAATTAATTATTCAAATCATCAAAAAGCTCACATTTTAACAGGCTAAGCAAGTTGTTAATTCCCAGTGAAACAAAAAAAGACCCTATAAAAAAAATTCTTAATTTACTACCAACCAATTTAATGACCTATGTCAAACAGTATTAAAAGTATTGTAAAGATATTTAAGTGTTTGAGATCATAAATTAAAATGATAAATAATATGAAAATGAAAATGTATGTTTAAGATGATGATATTTATTATAAAATATAAATTCATGTTGTTTTATTTAATATTTATTACAAGTTTGAAGATGTTGGCATTGGGATCCAGTTTGAATTAGAAGACCTTGCAATGAGACCAGATCCAGAACCACTTCTCACAGAGATGATTCACGCTGTAAGTATATTTAGCATACTAGTACTAGTATTGCCTCTGCCAAAGAGGTTATGTATTTAGTGCCAGTGGTGTATCTAGGAGCCTTGAAATTCAGGAGCTTATTCGGGGAGAGGGGTACGTTTAAGTCAGGGACCTCAAGCATAATTTTGTGTATATCTAGATGTTGTAGTTGGATTTTGATTTATTCGGTGTAAACAACAAGAATAACCCACGAAAGTCTGAAGAAGACTTATTTCCAACTTACTGGTACTGGTATGGGCATTTATAATGCACTTCTTCCTTGCGGTTTTCTTTTCCCTAATCATTAGGTCCACATGCCAAGTGTTGCTGCTGGTAATCAGCGAAGGAGCAGGCAACCTTACCAGATACCCATTTATATACTCCTGGGTAGAGAGAAGCAGTGCAGATCAAGTGTCTTGCTCAAGGACACAAGTGAAATGCACAGTGAAGGATTGAAACCCCGACCTCGAGGTTGGTAAACCAAACCGTTTCCGCTGCACCAAACCACTTCAGTAGACAATCCCCTACTCTATTCCCAAGAGTGTACTGAGTTCTTTAACGTGCACACGGGACCAACGGCTTAAACGTCTCATCCAAAAAAAAACGGCGCCAAGAGATCTCCATAGTTCAGTGCACACACAATGGCTACCACCAGTTTAGCCAACTCAGCTAAGCTGCTCTCATAGAATATGTTTATGTCTCACAATATATGTTTATTTTTCTTTTACATACAGGCAGCTTTTAGAAATAACACACTTGGTCAGGCCAAGTTCTGTAGTTTGGAGAATATTCCAAAGATCAGCCGTAAAACTTTAATGCAATTTTTGAATGTCCACCACACACCCTCAAGGATGGTGCTTGCCGGTGTCGGAATGGAGCATGAGGTTCTTGTGGATCAGGTGAGGAAGCACTTCCTTGGGAGCTCGATGTCATGGAATACACCAGAGATCCTAGAGCTGGGTGGCAATATAGACAGGTCAATGGCACAGTATACTGGTGGTATAGAAAAGGTGCGTTGAAAATATATCACGATTACGATGTTAGCGCTTATCAAATCACAGCAATTTCTCTTTTAAGTGTTTAAGCCCTATAAGATATGTTTTATTCATTCAGGAAAAAAATACATTACACTACCATGCATTGTTTACATTATTAATTTACTTTATCCAAAGGTTGAAAAAGACATGTCAAACATAGCCCCAGGCACACCTATCCCAGAACTGGCTCACCTCGTCCTCGGCCTTGAAAGCTGCGGCCATCAAGATCCTGATTTTGTTGCCTTCGCAGTTCTCAATATGTTAATGGGAGGAGGCGGATCATTCTCAGCAGGGGGCCCTGGTAAGGGTATGTACACACGTTTGTACCTCAACGTCTTAAATCGCTACCACTGGATGTACAGCGCCACCGCCGTTCATTACAGCTACGAAGATAGCGGAATATTTTGTATTCACGCCAGTACACACCCATCAATGGTAGGTTGAAGATAATTCCCATTCTTATTTTAAGTTATACGTCTGTTGTAATAATATGCTTTGTATGTTTCTGAGTATATAAAATTGTCTTTCTGCTTGAGATTTTGGTAACATTCCTTGCCTTTCAAACTGAGGATTATAAAAGTTATAGCCTGGTAGCTTACTAAACTAAGTGCTTTTCAATCCAGTGATTTAGGGAGTTTCAAATTGGTAGTGTGTAATGGGTCTTGCTTCACACTAAGGAATAATAAATTAGGTCAAGATCGGAATATTTTTGGTGGGAAACACATCAAGTGTAACCCACTAAGTCTAGAGACTTGTTTCCAGTGGAGTCCTTCTGGTGATGAATTGGTCAGTACACCAAAAAAAATAGTGTACTGTACTGCATTCTTTAACATCCACATGTGACATTTTATACACAGAGCCAATGGTTTTTACGTCTCATCCGAGAGGCGGTGTGGTATCGTCATTTGTATTTCGGCTTTCCAGCCGAAACACAAGGACAGCAGCGGATGTAATTGAACCCATGATCAAAGACCTAAAAGGATCTCCATGGTTGAGCGCACACAGTGGCTACCACCAGTTTACTGAGCTACGCTGCTCTCACTCTTTCACAAATTGAGTGTAGAGTAGCAAATATTTGCAGTGGTGGATCCAGGAATTCGAAATGGGGGGGGGGCCCCAGGGAGGGACTTTCACAGATGCAAGGCATAGATTCTCTAAGAAAATTTATGATTATGGCTCCTCTAGATGGCCGGAAATGGCATAAATTTGAATATAATTTTCTTTTTTCTCCAATTTTGTTTTTATTTAAAAAAATAAAAAAATTAGGGGGAATGGGGTATGAGTTGTTTAGGCCCCTTTAAATCTGCCACTGATTTATAGATATTTATAGATATTTGAAAAAAAAAATGTTATAAAAAAGAATGAAATTTTGTTTGGGTACACAGCTGAAGGATCTAGTTGAGGTGTTGACAAAGGAGTTTGTGAAGATGGCTGGCAGAGTTGAAGATGTTGAGCTTGAGAGGGCTAAGACACAATTGCAGTCCATGTTGATGATGAATCTGGAGGCTCGACCTGTAGTGTTTGAGGACATCGGCCGACAAGTCCTTGCCACAGGAACCAGGAAAAATCCAGAGGAATTTTGTGAAATGATAGGTGTGGTATTATGTCTTCATAATTCTGATTAATTTGATTTCTTGATTATTTTTTTTTCTTTGGACTGATTCCCCCCCCCCCAGTTTTTCTTGTATGTTTATTGTAAATATGATAAAATTTTAAATAGGCCTAATTTGAAATTTTCTATTATAATTTATAAATATTTAGTTGTTTTAAGGGGTATACCCTGTCCAGCATTCAAATTTGTGTTTTTCTTGTATTGTATTTTATTGTCATTGCTTTTGTCAAAGTTGGTCAAATAAATAAATGAAATGATGGAATGAAATGATATGTCATGTTGAGTTTTAAAAATTTAATATTTACTGTATACAACTTTTTTCTAGAAAGAAAATTGACTCAAAAATATATTATTATAAGTTTTAAGTACCAAAGTCTACAAAAATTCATAAAAATAATATAGACTCTAATCTATTTTGGTTACTATCTTATATGATCTCACAAAAATCCTCACAATTTTTGTAAAAATTCTCCCTGACCTCACTGTTTAGATTCTGAAGAGAAACCGTTATGCTAATGTCCTATCTTGTATTATTTAAAGGTTTATAAACTAAGACTCATCCCAACTGTCAGGGAGTGAAGACTAATCAACGACCTGTCTCTTATACACATCTATATATATATATATATATATATATATACTTCAGAAAAAAAAATTGAAAAATTAAATTCCATATTTGAATTGCTTAATTGAAGTTACTTAAAATTAAAGCTAAAAACAGTGGTTAAACCCTGTTTTTCCTCAGTTTTTTTATATTAAAAAATTTGTATCTTAATAATCAAGTTTTCTGTCAGAAGCCCTTGGAACAATCAGTTGTAGACCAATATTAGAATATGCTGATGTTGTGTGGCACCCTGGCCTCACTCAAGATTTAAGTAACACTATTGAAGCGATACAGAAAAGGGCATGCCATATAATCTTAGGCAAACATTTCAATTCTTATGAACATGCCTTGGGCATATGTGAACTTGAACTGCTCTCGGAAAGGAGGGTGGCACACTGTCTCAAATTCGCCAAGGGTCTCACTTTAACCTCTCATTCTTCTGATCTGGTACCACACACTCGTTAATGCAGCCACAATAAAAATCTCGGCAATGGTAACAAAATCACGCAATTTTCCATTAAAACAAATAGATTTTTCAATAGTCCAATCCCGTACTATATCCGATTACTCAATAATTCATAAACAGCAATGTTACCCTTGATGATTTGAGTGTGCCACCTTCCTTCCCGATTGGTGCTACAAATTTTTGGTCCAAATAATAATAATATTAATAATAATAATAATTATAATAATAAAATAATAATTTTTTTTTCTATATATATATATTTATTTTTTATTTATTTATTTTTTTATATGTATTTCTTGTATCTTTTTTTTTTTAAATATTTTAATGTTTTTGCCGCTTTCTTGCCCATAACTTTTGTAATATTACAAGCAATTTGGCCCATTGGGCCACCATTTGTAATACCTCTGAGTGTTTCATCAATAAAGTGAAAGTGAGTGAGAACATTGTCAAAAAATGTTCTACAGCTGACAACTGGCTCTAAAAATGTTGATTTGTTTGTATGCATTTTGCTTCTCTAAAATAATAAATATTATTCTTCCAGGAAAAATTTCCAGTCAAGATATTCAAAGAGTTGCAAGCCGAATGCTTCAAGCTAAACCTTGCATAGCTGCTCTTGGGGACCTCAAGTACCTGCCGTCTTTTGAAGATATTCGGGCAGCTTTTTCCAGCAAAGATGGTAGCCTTCCACGTTCGAAACTCGCTTCTATCTTTAAACGATAGTAATGTAATAACAGAAATAACTGATTGTTTTTTTTTTATACATAAAAAAAGTTTGTTTTATATATATATATTTCTTTTTATAATGCACAGAGTGGCTCTGTGTAGAGAAGAAGCTGAAAAGATAAAAAAAAAAATAGGCTTGTATGCTGTGAACCATATTAATGGGTTTACCATGACCATATGAAACTCGCCATTCCAAGACCTGCATCAGTGACCAAAAAATTGAAATTGACTTTTTAGTATATTCTTTATTCTCCACCTTATAAGCTTTAAGATGATGTGGCCATTTACTGGAATCGATTTACTTTTGCCAAAGTTATGAGTAAAAGTATTATGCGTCGTCTGTACTAAAGTATACAATCCTGCCACATTCTTATGCTAATTACTCGGTTTAACAATCAACGACAGTATGCTGGTTTTGGGAGGGCAAGCCTCATATGGTGTATGGGTCTGTGCCATGGGATAGTCTTGTTTTGTTAATATTTGACAGAGGAGAAGATAGGTCTAAAGATAGTATGAAACAAACTCCAAAAAGATGAATATGAACTAATAAAATTTGAATCTATAGAATCAATAATGGCTTGTATCACTTTTTTTGGAGTTTGTTTCTACTATCTTATGTCAAACTTATCGGTGAACCCCATGGTTGAAGCATGGTTCAACGATCCGAAATTCAGCGGTGGGAAAATCCAACGATGCGAAATCCTGTGATGTGAAACCAGTGAAGCGAGACCTAGACTGGTCACCAGGTTGTCGCCGAGAGGGGTTGTTGGAGTCCAGAAAAAAAATAGCATTTTTTATGTTCGGTGAGATTAAAATTTGGTGATTTTTTGTTTTATAGTTTAAAGTATAAAGCTTTCCGACAAAAACTTCCAACCACAACATGATAAAATAAAGCCTACTAGTGATCCATGCTTCACTCAAAGTCGACTTGGTGTTCAAATCAATATTCAAAAGTGTTTTTTTTTTGGCGAATTATTGGTGAGCCTGCAAGTAGGTTGGCCCACCCTCTAAAATTGTTAGATGGGCTTCCACCCACCTGTGCTGCCGCCCACCTGTGCCGCCGCCAGTGGTCTGTATATATGACACCCCATTACATACACTAAATTGGCAAATGGAAGAAAGGGATCCCATGTTTATTATTGTTATGAGAGATTGCAAAAACTGTATTATGACCAGTACTTTATCAATGGCATACCAAGGATTTCGAAAAGGGTGGTGCCGAGTAGTATAAATTCTTGTTGAAATTTTATTCATTACTGTGTATGACCAATAAAATGAACTTGACTGTGAAAAATAATGCACAAAATAAGACCAGTAGAAGTGGTGTATAAATAGAAAAAAAAAAAACAAGGATTTTTTTCCCTGATGCTTGTTAATGTATAATGCTGCCTTTGGATACGCCACTATTTATTGTAGAGTATTGGGTACTAGAATTTAAGACCTGGTTTTTATTATTTTTTTTTTAGCCAGAGGTAAAGTATACAAATACACAAAGTGAAGTGAATTTATGGCATCGCCAAAATACTGTACATGTTATATTTGCAGTGGCCTGTTAATGTAGGTGGAGTAGAACCTTAATCAAAGGGACACCAGGACCACTGAATATTAGTGTCTCCTTAAATAAGATTGGCCTCAATGTTAAAAGATATAATTCCATTTGTTTGATTTTGTTTTGGCTCCATAAATTTGCTGACAAGGGATCTAAACCAAAGGACCGACGAGAGCCTCGGTCAGGGTCCCAGAATGTATAAACCTGGTAGGGTTCACGGGGTGAGTTTTTATGGCTTAGTATTTTCCAAATTATGCTTTTAGACCACAATATTAGGGATTGGCAATCAACATTATTTTTTTCTATAAGCAAATTTTTGCCCTCCAACGATCACTCCAACTGGTTTGGTGTCTAAAAAAGGTTCCCTTTAATAGAATTGTCCTACACGATTGTTCTACGGTACTGTATTCTAAAAAAGTAAATCATGTTTGGATTGTATTGTAGGCCTACGGGGAGTGGACGATATGGATTAAAGATTCTCTTTGAACTATTAAAACCAGTAACATTATATATCATTTTGTCGTTTTTTTAACTTAAGTTGTTATATACGATACCGGTAGTATATTACATCCTCCAAATATCGAAATTGGATTCAATATTTCGACATTAAGTATGTCATCAAGTATGCCATCATCAGGTTTCTGATGATTTGCGAGAAAGTTTCACATTTTAAGTGTTCATAAATTTCCCATTGATTATTCTTTCGAGTAGAAAAATTGTTATAATTACTGTCACATAATTTATCATAAAATCTGAAATCTGGATGGAGACTTACAAATGCAATGCACAGAAATCAACATAGTTTCTACGTGAACAGAAGGGTCGCGCCAGCGAGGGGACTGGGGACAGGGCCCTCGTCAGGGAGAGCTTCCCCCAGCGGGCCCCCCCCCCCCCACGCCATCGGGGAGAAAAAGGACAATTCGTCGGGGAGGAAAAAAAATTATATGTATTTTCTACATAATAGTAGACTCTAAAATCGATTAAATATGCCTTTGAAGCCCCTAAATTGTCAAAATGTTCGGGGGTATCTCCCCCTGGACCACTTTCGAAACCTTTTAATTGAAGCTCGACCAAGCCCACATTGCTTTGGTCGGGCAAATCTGACCCCTCCTCGGGGGCATCGGATCCCCGTCGAGGACCTTGGCCCAACCGTCGGGCAAATCCTGGTGCCACCCCTGCGTGAGCACAGCAATTGTCGTGCACGTCCTGTATTCAAAATAGTATATTGTGAGGGATATTATGTTTAATTTGTTATGAAAATAGTGTCATGTTGATATCTGTTAATTGCGATGCTGTTCATACATAAAACTTAGAGAATGAAAAATCAGTTGCTTTAGTCGGATTTGAATTCCCAACGAAGACTAGTGGCCCAGTTGGTTAAGGCATCTTATATAGTCAGTAGAACGTCCCGGGTTTGAATCCCGCTTGTGGCGGATTCTTTTTAGCATACATTTATGTCTACTAACTACGACCCATTGACAATACTAATAACAACCTCCAAATTAATGTAGAAACAATGATTATAAACACAACAAAGTTAACTTTACTCATTTCAATTTTATTAAGCACACTTTTTTATTTAGACTAGCCTACACCAAAATGAGAATATCAATCAAAATTTTGAATAGGTCATATGAAAAAAAAATGAGATTTTTATTAGACGGTACATTAGCATATCTGATGAATAAACAAGATTGATTCCTTTGACTCTTCGCCAGCTTGCACTTGCCTGCCCACAAGTTTGGAAATATAATTAACATGGCTTTAATAGGTTATTAATGAGGTCTTATTTCTTATTATGCCTATTGGTTATCGATTGTATGTTTTATATATATTATGTGTGCTGCTTTAGATGTTGAGTAACAACGTCTGTGTATTAGCATATGACGTTTTGTCACTCTAGCTCAGCGAATCGATTTATGGATACATAGTTGGTTTTACAGACAAATGTATTCAAGAATCAAGAATAAAATCAAGAATATATTAATTCCGACTTAGTAAATGTATATAAAAATAATCAAATATTTTTTTTTATTGTATACAACAGTAAATACTATATATTTCTACATGGAAATAAAGTATGCTACCACAGTATATAGCTAAGCTTAGAGTTATGGATTTACTATATGGTAAAGAGCTTAACATTAACGAGACTTACTCAGTGAAGGATCTGAATTACAGAAAGAGGGTCCACCCACCTCGACCCCATGATGATTGGGGGCACAGATAATTTCGAAATTCTAAAGAAAATGAAATTTATGAAATAATATTTCAACAATTAAAATAAAATGAATTTGAGAAGACTATTACCAGGTTTGAAAATTCTTATCCATTCAGGAAAGACACTTTGATTAAGATGGAGACCAAATCCAGTGGCGCATATCAACACGTCGTATGTATAGCTTGTTTTGTCGCTGGAAGATAAATTTTAGATAGGCCTATTCGAAAAGTTTTTGTTTCTAGATTCTTTAATAATAATAATAATAATAATAATAATAATAATAATAATAATAATAATAATAATAATAGTAAGAATGTGGTCAATTTGTGTGTAATGAACCTTACTGTATCTTATTATTGCTACACAACCATATGTACAAATAATGGCACAAACCATGATTCAACTTTCCTCCAGAAGTATGACACAAATGCAAACCTCATTATTAATAACCTTTGGCGTGAGGCTATGAGTTGCTGGGCGGGTCCAGATATTTACAGGAGGGGATGCAGAAAGAAGGGAACTCCTGTATAAATAACATAATGACTTAGAGAACCGTTTTTTCTTGTAACCCTCCCGTCTTTTGAGACTAAAAGCCAACAATAATGTTAGCCTGAAAATTATTCTCATAAATGACCCCAACCCCTAAAATCAGAATCAGAATCACCTTATTATCTCCAAAAATACATTCATTATATAAATACGCACATTTAAAAAAAACGTAAAAACACTAAAACATAAAAAAAAAAACCGGAAATGAAACGCTGCATAATGTTGTATTATTATTATTATTATTATTATTATTATTATTATTATTACCATTATTATTATTATTATTATCATTATCATTATTATTATTATTATTATTATTATTACTATTATTATTATTATTATTATTATTATTATTATTATTAGGCATATTATGTAAATATCTCTATGCGCTTTTACAGTCTCAAGTGAGATCACCCTAATAGATAAATAACTTATTAGCTTGGCTACTATAACAATATTATTAACTTGTATTTTAAACTGATTCATTTGAAAAATATATTAATTTTAAGTTTCTTTCATCATCTATTTATTATTTAATTTTTAATAAATATTTCCTTTCTTGTCCCTTTTCTATGTCTTTTTTCTTCTCTTTTTCTCTCTTTTCATTCCTATTTCCTGTTTATCTTTTTCTTTACTTCCCTATATTTTCTTTTTTTCCCCGATAGGCCTAACATTTCTTTCTTTCCTTTTCCTTTATTTTTCTATTTCTTTTCCATTCTAATACATACTCTGTGAATTCTGGTAGCCCTTCATTATTTCTGAGTATTAACATTTTCAGTTTGTAGCTAGCCTAGCACATAAAATTGATACTGTATAACGAAGTGGTCTGTAGTCATGGAGTCCTGAGACATTACCGAAGAATGACAAACTGATGATCGTTTGACAATTCTCCAAACGCCCTCATTAACATTGTTATTGTTTTGGTTCCCACCACAGTAAAACTGTTGTGTGAGTTGACGGCGGTGAAGCGACAGTAGGGTGGTGTAGTATGTTTGCCTGTTCTGTTACTCAAAATCATGATTATAGAATTAGAGCTACGTATCCAAGTTAAATCACCCTGTATATGCGTCTTGGGAACAAGTATGCTATAAGCTCTTTCTTTCATGGTGAGTATTCACTGTTTCAGGTAATTTTCCCTTTTGTCAATTCGAGACTCGACCACTTACTGATCTACGTGTGTGTGTGCGCTTAGGCCTAGCTTTATTAGCAGTGGGCAGTAGGTCAGTTAGCTTCTCGTCGCTGAGCTGTGTTGCTCCAAACATTTAGGAATTAGTTTAGAAACTCCAAGGTATTCAAGGTTCCTCTCTATATCGAGCATCCAAGTTGCTATTCCAAGTTACTTGTCCAAGTATTAGATATTCTGTAATAATTGTTATTTTTAAAATTGTATCATACACTACTACTATATATAATTAATAGGAAAATTAAATAAAATTTTGAATGTGGTACTAAAATCCCAATTATTGCAACACTAACTTAATTGTAACTTTTAGTAACTTAGTGAATGGAACTAATTTGCCACCATGGGAAGGGGAGGAGTAGGGGATACGAAAAACGAAGGCTGGTGGAGCCTGGGCCCCAATTAACATAAAATTTAAATTATTGAATTAAAATGAACTGTGACCCAACCAATTTTTTTTTATCAGCTTCTAACAGGTGAAGGGGTTGTGAGGAGGTGGTGCTAATGCTATGCTACAAAGCTACTGAAAAATAATCAACACCAACATTCAAAAACATTTCAGAAACTGAGGCCTCAGTCAATACTGTGAATACTATGAACAATTGTTATTTTCAACATGTTTGTTTTCGTATGATTTTTTTTTTTCAAATTTTGTATTGCTTAATTGGTGGTTACTCAAGCGAGTCAAGCGTAAAGTCTAATAATAATTGTGATCTTGGGGCATTCCCTGTCATTGTTAAAATTCACTTGTTTACGAAATGAAGGAAATGCTGCTATGGCAACGTAAAACAACAACCACAAGTTGAAATGGCAGAAACCAAACCATGTTTTATTGTTAGTGTTGTTTGATGTTTAAAGTTAGGCAAGACTTTTTTTATTCCTTGTTTAGTGCACTTATTTTTTTAAAGATCATTGGAGGAGGGCGGAATAATAATAAAACAAAATTTTGTTTTCTTATTTAACAAATAGTTTTGCCAATAACATCCAGATTGAGGTAAATGTGAAAGGGGATGGTTAAATGTTGCAGGATATATTTTCCTGGGTGGGGGGGACTAAGCTCTCCGACGGGGAGGGAGTGAACAAGTGAGATATGGATGACTTCAGCGCTTAGCGCCATCTGAGGGCCATAGGTTCCCCCTCCCTAATGAGATTTAAAAAAATTAGGGACCTCTGGATGGCCCGTAATGGCACTCGGCCGAGGATTTTGTGGCGTCTATAATAAATCTGGAAATGGCCATTTCCAGTTCTATCCCGAATGGGTGTTAAACGTTGACCGCCTGCTGATGTCCGCTGATAATGCAACGCTGCAAAGTGCAATGTTTTGGAGGAACAAAAGCAGTATGCATTAGCAGCAGGCAGCATTTTTTATCACTTAATCCCCTTTGATTGTTTCAATATGCGCCACAAGGCAGAAGTAAAGTCTGTTTAAATTTTCATGGTCCCTGCTATTACAGTTTATTTCCAAAAACAAAACTTAAAAGTTCGACAGAATAAATTATTTCAACTGAGGGCTAGCATAGAATCCAGATTGTCAATACATAGTCCTCCACATGCATATTATTGTGGCACCACAGCTTATTTGTTTAACAGTGGTAGTATTTTTCTGCTTTTAAACTACAATTGTCAAATGAATATTGTCATATGAATAAAGTTTGTTTATGGTTTATATGCCCAAAATGTACATCTGCGATTTATTGGGAGTTTGCAATGTATACTTTATTATTGTTGTAGTTCTTCAGTAAATTTCATTACTTGGTTTTGAGACAACAACATTATGCAGTGGACCAAAGTCAATGTCTGTTTCTTAATTGGGGTGGGGTGACACCATGGTCCAGGGAAACTTGGTAGAAACTCATTACTGTATTTGCATAATACCTTAGGTTTTACCGGTAAGTAGAACCCTATATAAATTTTTCCCATTCTCGCCCCAACACACCCTCAGTCTCAGACTTGAAAAATACTTTTGAAGTTGATAAAATACAATTCTACTATACCCTCAAACTCAACTCAACTCAAATAAACAATCATTTCATTTCAATAGGCCTATTTTTTTTTTTAGTCCGACTGCCCGACGAGCTCTGGCTGGTGGGGGCAGGGGGGCTCTTGACACCTGCCTCCCGCTGGCGCCACCACTGGTCTATTAAAAGCCTAAATCATGAGGCTGAAGTAAGGCCTCAATATAAAAATTTGTATGCCTGCCAAAGAAATTTTGCAATTTATCTTCACTACAGTATTCAATTTCAGTTCTATTCACCCTCTTGCACTCAACCATTAGGCGAGACTTTTTATACCTTGTTTAGCGAACCCGCCAAATGCAAATATTGATGGTTTCAATTAAAATTGAAGTTCGTCGCCACAAAAAATGGATATTTCAGAAAAAAAATCAAAGTTTTTTTCTATTTTTATTACGCCCTTCGCTGCCTTGAAATCTCCAAAGATAAGATATATATATTTCTTTCTAATTATATAAATTTCCCATTTTACATTCACCAATAAAATTATATTTTTATTTTCTCCTCCATCTGGGTGTTTTTGGCAAAACTATTTGCTAAATAAAAAAAAAAAAAATTTTTATTCCGCCATTCTCCGTTGATCCTTATAAAAATGAGTACGCGAAACAAGGAATAAAAAGTCTCTTCTTATGCAAATTTAAATTGATGATAATTAATAATCATTCATTATCATTTTAAATTTATTGATGTGTACTTATACCACTCGGATTGATCATCTAATCTTTTACCCCACAGGTACCTCTAAGCTGTCAGGTTGACACCACCAATTTTGGTGTGATTCATGAATATTCATTAGCTATTGATCTGTCAGTATGTTACTCATTATTTGTATAAATATTGTAACAGATGGAATACGAGGGAGCTATTGTTATGGTATTGACAGTGTATTGTTGTTAAATGGTCCAGAAGGCAATTCAATACAGGTTATACTAGGATTATTTATGTTCAGGGTGCGACGGTGATGATTGTATCAGGCACATGTTTAACACAGCCACACCTAGAGATGAAAAAAATGCAATAAAAAATAACAAAGATTTTTATCTAATTAATAATTATTTTTAACCAACTTTGTGCATGTAAATGCAGATAATCATTTATATTTCAACTTTTAGGATCCTTTTTATAGAATATATTACAGACCTGTCAAGTCTCACACATCTTGCTGGAGTCCCACGCATTTAACTTCGACCTCACAGCCTCATGCGAGGCCTATACATTCTCACACATTCCAGAATTTCTGTCAACATACAACATTTACGGACATGACTCTCGGCTCTAGTGATCCCGTAGCGATCGTCACAGTATTCAACGCCGCCTCGGCAGAAACTGAAGAAATGGGATATCAAAGTGACACTCTGTATCAATGTTTTCACTGTAAAGCTGTATGTTATATTGACGCTTGACTGTATTTTCCTTAAGGTTTGTGACCTCGTGCATAATTTTCAAAAAATGACCAATCTCAAGCAACTCCAGAAGAAATCTCAAGCAAGCCAGTGTGAGACCCTTGACAGGTCTAATATTATATACAAATAAGTAAATAGTGGTATGATTCATGTTCAGTATATGCTGTTGAGAAATATTCTAATAACTGTATATTTAATATTTGTACTGTATCCCATTGTGTATAATTTGTTTTTCTGAAAAATTAAAGAATGCAGTGACAAAAACAGGCTACACTGTGCCCTTTTCTAAATCTGCCCCTGAGGAACATATAGCTAAAATGTAAGATATTCTTCGACAGTAGTGTACTGTACTGTAGATCTAGGGGAATTTACTTGGGGCCTAATGGGGGATGCGAATGTTAAGTGGGTGATTTGATAATTAGATGAGAGGGAAACTGTTCACAGTACTGTATATGAGGTGACTTTTACTTGTTTTGAGTAGTTTTTACTCATCAAGATTTCTAGTGGGGGAGGGGCTGGTAAGTGCAAGCAATGTTTTTTGGGGGCATGCCTTCCAATATACAGTAGATGCCTCTTTTCTTAGAAGGTGAAATCTAGTAATAATGAATAAATGATATGTCAGTAAGCCAGTAAAGTAGTACTTCATATTTTTGAAAATTGGTGAGGTTTACTGTATCAATACCTCATTATCTATCATTATTATCATCAATATTATCATGGTATGTAAAAAATGTATGGTTAATCTTTTACTTTAAATTTATATTTCCAGATCATACAGAATACAGAAGAATTCAAGACACTTTGTATAAGATAGAATACTAACCAGAATATAAGAATTGGTATTTAATGCATACTGTACCTGTGATATACATGAACTACTAAAATGGAATATTTACATTTATTACTGATTGCATTTGCAAGTATATTAACATTATCTGCCGGGCAGGACACAGGAGCATGCATAAACCGTGCATGCTACCCAAGGTTTCGCGATTTGATTATGGACATTGCAAACAGGACTATTGAAGCGAGTTCCACATGCGGAACACCCGAGGATGAATTTGAGTTACGAACAGTGGGAGCTAACGGTGACACTTACGAACTTATGTTATGCAATTCTACCATTGAAGAGCTTTCCCATCCGGTCGACAGTGTAACTGACTATTCAAGCGAAATACTTTTCGGTCAGGAGTACACTTCACCGAATCTGAACACGTGGTGGCAGTCTGAAAACGAGGTATCGGATGTCCGGCTTACACTTTCATTGTTTAATAGTCTGCTTTTTCAAGGCATGACTATCGCGTTCAGAAGCCCAAGACCCCTTAGTATGATCATTGAGAAAAGCCATGATGATGGCCTTACTTTCGAACCTATCCGGTATTTTGCGGATGACTGTTCGTTACGATTTCCGACAGTACCGGTCGCATCTTCACATACCTATGAAGGCTATGCTGTTGTCTGTATGGAGAGATATTACTTTGGTGATAGTGAAACATTGATTCCGGATACGGATATACAACAGGTAATCATTTTTTTTTTGTTTTTATGTAATTTAAAGAATTGTTTTTAAAAAACAATTTTATACCTAGTTATGTTTGTTTTAAAATTTTTTACTCTTTTTACACATGGTGTAAATATAAGCCTAATGAACAGGTAGGAAAAGTGCAGCCCGACAGTTGTTTTTTTTCCTGGCTTGTGAAAATAAATTAAAAACGTCCCTATGTGTGTTGCTCGCCAAAGATCTTTAACTAAAAAAAAAAACCACCTTGTTTTTTACAGCCAAGCACCGATCATATTAAACATGAGAATAAAGTGGTATAAAACAGTGCATAAAGGTATTAGAAGCGATCTTGTGTGCAGCCCTCAGTGTTAAATCAAAAATTAACTTTGACCTTTCCGACTGATTTTTATGCCCACCTGTGCTGTAGGCCTACAATGAATCAATTCAATGGATATCAATTTCCAAACTTTTTTTTATAAAGAAAAGACTATGTTACAGTACATGCTGTAGTCTACTTCATGAATTGATTGGCCTATCCCCCGAGAAAACAGACTATTACCACAGCAATAGCGGCTATGTTGCATGCCTCATTGGTGCTGCCACTGTTATCTGTATCCATAAGCTTGAGTCAACTGTTCTATTATTTTTTGAGGGGTGTCTTTTGAGAGAGAGAATAGGCAATTGTCGGTTTATCCAGTGACCCACTCATAGACTGCCAACATCACCATTGTTTTGTGTAAAATTCAAGGTATATAATATAATTTCAAGCACAAGCTCTGTGGTTAAGACACAAGGCCAGTTATCTGGAAGTCATGTGTTCGATTCCCACCCGAATCACTTGCAAGATTTTTTTTTGTACAGGTCTCGCTCCAATTAAAGAACACTTTCGGGACCACGATTTTCATGGTCTTTTTAGCAGCTTTGGTGTCAAATTAGAATAATAAAAATAAAAGACATTTGTTAATTTGGGAACACATAGGAAAGTGTAGGAGGTGGTCTTTAATTTGAAGGGGTCTTTAGAGGGAGACCTGTATTGTGGAACACACTGCACCGAACACTCAGTACGATAACGCGTCTAATAGGTCAAAACATCATTTCCAACCCGTATATTTTTTAGCGAATATTATTTAAGTATAATTGGTGTCATTTCAGGTACTTTACAACCCGGCTCAAGAGAACGGACCCAACTTTGCTCTTTTTGATGCACAGCAGTACTTTATCATCACTGACATTCAAATAACTCTTGGGGTAGCAGGGGACACAGGTCACCCTCTGCGAAGCTATTTTGCCATTGCTGATTGGGATGTTAAAGGGCAGTGTGCTTGTTATGGCCATGCGGAGGAATGTAGAGGTTTTGTAAGTTGGCTACTAAAGAAATACCGTGTTTGATTTTATCATCATTATCATCATCACCACTGCCATTATCTCCTATACCATCATTGTTATCACCAATATTATCATCATCATCATCATCATCATCATCATCATCATCATCATCATCATCATCATCATCATCATCATCAACATGATTTCATTATCATCATTGTGATTATCACTATCAATATCGCACCCATTAGTTTTGTCTTCATCATAATCATCATTCTTCTTGTCAAATCATCATCACCATCATCATTTTACCATCATCAGCAATATAATCATCATTATAACGGCTTTAACATACGTCATTTCATCACCTGTCATTTCTATTAATATGTTTCGTGACAAAATATCAACAGTATGATATTAAGGAACTTATTTGTTATTCAAAATATTAATATTTTTCATTTAGGATGGGGCTGAGTGCGTGTGCCAGCATAACACAATGGGTAGAAACTGTGAAGAATGTCTGCCATTGTTCAGGAATCGCCCATGGCAGGTAGCAATGGGAAGCAATGCTAACGAGTGTCAAGGTAAAGATATACTTCCCCTTTGTGGCCGAAAAGGTGTCTCCTAATGGGACGTGGCTCAAAGGAGGGGCTCTAGATTATTTTCATTCATGGACCTTAGAAGGCAAGCATCTTAACAGGCCCATAACCAGTGGGAGGGGTGGGTTGGGGGTTTAGCCAAGCCCCCACCCCCTCCTTTTTGAACAGTTTACTACTGTAGTGGTATTTTATCATAACTTTTTTCTATTAAAAAAACACTTCAGAGTTACACTTGTCCTAGGCCCTATAGTAGGAAACACCATTCACATGAAGCTGGTTACGGGTTCTTGATCACCAAACTTTTTAACTCCACTCAGATAAGTATAGTAGTTTACTACTACCGTGAGTAGTAGCTGCTGAGGTAGGTGGTCAGTCCCATTATGTGATAGGCCCCTGGCCCTGCACTAAAGCGCCAGGACCTGCTACAGTACACCACTCTATTGAAAAAATAAAAACATTAAAAACATTCAGTACACGTTCGGTCTGGTATTTCTAATCTGACAAAAATTTGTTGCATAATTTATGTATTAAATCAGATTGTGAGTGTAATGGTCGAGCAGTGTCTTGTACGTATGACCCCGCCAGGCAGTATGGTGTCTGTAACGACTGCACTGAGAACACCCTGGGAGACAAGTGTGAGATGTGCACTCCAAATTTCTTCCGGAACCCCTACTTGAACCCAGAGGTCAACACTACTTGTATCGGTAAGCAAACTAAATTCTTCACAATCTACCATATTCTATTATAAACTGCTTCCAATTTAGGGGTGTAGACTGGTTTTAATCTTGGTGGGTGGGATGGGGGAGGGAGGTTGCAAAAATTTAGATTGCCGAACTAATTCCCAATTCCAATGGAAAATAGATGGTCGTTTTTATTAATTTAACCTGCTTGAGTTGCCCAAGCCTAAACAACCCAAGAAAGATTTTAGTGTCATATTTTCATTTTATATATTTTTTTTTACATAAAGCAGATTTTCATTCTAGTTCTAAAAACTTATTATAAAATAATCACAGTTTGCTTTGGTACCTGTAATTTCATACTAAATTGACTTTACAGGTGTTAGCATTTTTGTACTAGAATATTTTCTATACTTTAGGATATGTATGCTGGGGGGTCATGTATGGATTAAACAATTGTTTGACTATCTAATATTATTTCATACTATTTATGCCAATTCTGTAAGGGATTGGGGCTACATGATACTGCTCTCACCCTATCACCTTTTTTTTTTTATCTCTGTAGAAACAGTACAGTACCTGTCATAAACAATGTATTTTTTATATTTTTTTTTCAATTCAGTTTAGCTTATATTATAAGACCATTTTTTCCAAGCTATATATTATTATTTTTCGTTATTTGTATTCTTGTCAGTAGATCAGATCTATTATAATCATCTTTACTGTATGTAAAAACATTATCATACAGTAAATTTACATTTATTCAATATTTGTTTGTTATATTATTATTAACCCTTCGTGTGTTCCAAAATAATTAGAGGCTGAAACCCTATGTGATGATTTTTGTTGGTGTAAGTAAACCAGTTATTCACAATTTGATATGTAATCTTTTTATCTGTATTGATTATCATATTATTCTCTACTTCCATCCCAGCATGCGTCATTTCATTTATTGATTTCATCATACATAACAGTTGCACAGAATTTAATATACACCAGCTTTTTTAAAGATCATTAAAAATGGTTAAAATTCTTTGTAATTAATAGATAGTAATTATTTTTCTCTGGTTTAAATTTAATTTTTGATGTTAAAAATCTCTTCTGCCACACCAAAGTGTTAACATAAAATGTCCTCAAATTAATAATTTGTTATTTTTTTTTCTCCTCAGTCATTATAGTAGGGCCTACTATGAGAATAATGTAAAATTTTTAATTGCACAGTAATAAAAAGATATAGTGACTTGCATCTGGCTGTCATGTGCTGCAATAGCCTACTGTATGACCCAGGTCTAATTGAAGTTTTTTAGGGTGGACGCTTATGCCTAGATTTCTAAACATGTTGATAGACTTCTGCATTTAGGCTTTATTTTTAGTTTGAGATGAGGGTGGATCTCTGAAAAAGTAACCTGTAATTGTTTATAAAAAAAAAATTAATAACAATTTTAAAAACTCATGTTGCATACCAATAGATAGATAGTATTAAAAAAGGTATTTAACAATCAGTCAATTATTAAAGATGTATTATAATATTTAAAAAGGATTTTTATTTTATTTTCATTTTTTATTTTATTTCTTCCAGCATATATAATTAACACACAAAAACAAAACAAACACAAAAAAGTGGGAGTCTGAGGAGGGACGAAAGTTGTACATAAACTAGGAATATTTTGTACCCAAACACCAGAAATGTTGTGCCCCTCCAACTCTAACTTCCAAAATAATAAACAAGAAGTATAAAAATACTGTAGCTATAGTAATACAAACACAAGAATTTTACAGCCTGATGTTGTTTCACTATACTCAATAGTATTTGCATGTCATTCTGGTGGCAACACATGGCCATCATCGTTACTAGATTGGTAACATTCTGCTGCTGTAGTGAATTAATAAAACTTACATTACTTTGAAAGTTGCATGTTCTGAATGCCTTAAAAACATTTTTTTTATTCTCCTATATTATTTCAATCATACATTTAACATTTTTAGAGGGTGAATCTGATCCCTTTGGATGTGTATTGTATTGCCATGGTAGGTAAAAATTTAAATAAATTAAAATATAGTATTTGTGTTTTTACAAACATGGGTTATCAACTTTTCAGGTTGGTGGTTATGTTTTTTAATGTTGGAAATTGTCTACATGGTAGAATTCTAGTTAAAAGTAATCTGTGTCGTAAGTGTTATTGCTGTATCTGAAAGCATATTATAATGAAGTTGGTGGTTGTTTTTTCTACATCAAAAATGTCCTTATAATTTGTAGTTGAATTTCAAAATATAATATTCTAATTAATGAATGTTTGGATGTTTACACTATATCAGGAATATATGAACTAAAACTAATTGATTAAATAGAGGGTCATTATTGTTGACAGACTGTATCCACCGGATTTGAAATATCCATCTAAAAGCACAAGGGAAAGAAAGTTTGATCAGTATAAACCTATAATTATTTTAAAAAAAGTCGATTTTATTAAAAAATTATTATTGCTTTCGTTTTTCCTGCTTAAAAAACTTCTAAATTCTCTGTACTTCTATATTGCATGTTTACCCTTTATTTGTTTTATCAAGTATTCCACATTTTTCTAATTGCATGTTTCTCTTGCATGTCTGCAAAAATGTTATGTTAATTTCCTTTTACAAACTATTACCTATATTTTCATTTTTGATTTCTTCATTTCCTTTTTATAACAAAGTTGATGTACTGTACTAAATAGACTTTAAACCGTAGGCTCAGTGTACAATTTGGCTCATGTGCACTTTAAATAACCCAGTAAATCTTTCGAAAAGAGTAGGGTAGTTACTCCGGTGTACTGGTTCATATAGCCCCTGTTGTAGACAGATGAGAGTTGCTGGTACCAGTTTACCGAGTAACTCAGACACAGAGCGAGGGAGAAGCAAGTTACTGTATGAGCTAGTCCACACCTCAAGCCCTTTGAGACATCATACTGTAATAATGAACCGCTATATAAATCAAACTGCATTACACGTTCCATTAAGTGAACAAGTCCAATTTTAACTTAGTTTTTAAGGATTTTTTTTCTTACTTTTTGAGTGGTGGTGGTAGACCTACATACAGTATTTAATAAAAACACACTAGAAATAAATAGAAATCTTCATCAAAATAACATTAATGGTCACTCATGTACTTTGCTTCGTTTTGTTAGCATGCAACTGTTCCGATGTTGGTACTATTTTAAACACTATTTGCCTGGAGTTCGATGGTCAGTGCCAGTGTAAGATTAATGTCCAGGGTCGTCAGTGTGACGAGTGCCTAGACGGATACTGGGATTTCTCCGTGGAACATGCGTTTGGTTGTATAGGTTGGTACTGTGGACGCCCTAATCAGTATTGAACATGTTATTACTGTATTGTTGTTAATATTTTTGATGATGGTTGAAAGTGGGAGAGGGGAGTGGGTAAGGAAGGATGAAGAAGGTAAAAGGTTAGCAACAATGATGAGGATGATGACAATGATATTAATTGCGATCTTTACAGTTCTGTGATAACATTGATTAAGAGCTCTCCCCATCTGTATTTCTATGTATTTATTCGGGTGAACATGCCAAAAAAAAAACCAAAAACATGAAAACATAGGCCAACATAATGTTAACAATATAAAAACTCACCATTGGCCCCGGTGGAAACCTGGGCTTAACAGAACACCATCAAGGGTAGTCCCAACCATTAGTGGGCTAACAAAAATACATAAAGTAGTAGAGTATGGGGAGTATCTGTCAAGTATTTACTTAGTATCTCACTGTTTGCTGTACAGTTTACCTCTCTGGTAAGCCCTGCAAAATGACAGTGTAAAAGTATGTAAACACATGTGTTTGTGGAACAACATGTCAGTTTGATGGACAACATGTCAGTTTGAGTGACAAGAGCGTATTCCTAACCCTCTACTGATTGGTCAGTTGTTGGGGTAGATTGACTCTCTGGAAAGATCCATTGTGGTTTAAACAATCAGTATTGAGTAGTATTGATTTGAAACATTTTTTGAACATCTTTTCCATTTCATTCATTACCTATGTTAAGGAGGTTATGTATTCACTGCTGTCTGCCTTTCTGTTTGTTAGCAAGATTATGCAAAAACTAATGAATGCATCATTATAAAATTTAGATGAATGGTACATAATAATTGAAGAAAGACACCATTCAATTTTCGGAAGTAACTTATTTTATGTTTAACCTTTTTTTCACAGCATGTGTTTGTGATGATCGTGGTAAAATTGAAGAGCCAGATTTTTGTGACAAAGAGACCGGTATTTGCTACTGCAAAGCAAACGTTGAAGGTGACAGGTGTGACACATGTAAGGTGTGTGTGAAAATTTCACTTACTCACAATTAATATAACAGTTGCTGAAGAACAGACAATAAGATACTTTGCAAATTATTTGGTATTATTTGATAACAGTGATGTAAGGCAACAAATTTTATTTGAGAGATAAAAGTGATTTGCAAAACATGTTCAAACTCAGTTGGTAGCCCCTGGACCTCAACTACTGTGGGATTCTTCTCAGACGTAGATATCTATTGCATTCATTATTGCTTGTTTTGCTAGAGATATATTATAAAATTGATTCTAGGTATTTAATTAGTTAAAAACTGGGCAATAGTTCCAGCCATGCCCTCTAATGCCTACAGTTTTAATGTAGTGGTAACATATTTACTGGGTTTTAATCGGGCATAGTTCAAAATATAGCCCTTTGTGATCTGGAGTCTGTACTATACCCTTGACTTAGTCTCGGGACATAGCCTCCAGATTACCTTGGGCGATATTTTGAACAATGCCCCTCAACCCAGTAAATATTTTACAATATTACATGTGGAAACTACTCAAATTTGTCTCCCACAACATAAAATCCACTTGTTCCCAATTAAAAATAAAAAAATTATATTTTTAAAAATAATTTTATAGGATATATGTAGCGCACATATCCAGGAAACTGTTCAAGGCACTTTTTCCCCTGGTCACTGGATACAGACTCAAGCATACACAACGTGCAACCTCCTCCCCTCCCCTGGGGAGTATTCCTAGTTATGCAAGTAATGAGCACTACTAATTTCATTCCGAATCATTCACCTCCTACTGGGTATCCATTTCTACTCCTGGGTGATTAGAGCCAAGAGCAGCTGAAGTGTCTTGCCCAAGGACACAAGCTGCTTGGCTATTCCGCGGCAAAACAACGTAACTTAACAAAAGTATAAAAGCAGTTACGTTTTTTTTCCTTGGGACGTCCGAACCGCTGCGTGAGCCTTACCTTCACGCTACTTAGAAATAAATATAAATTGATGGTAAAGTGGCAAATATAGAGATGTAAAGGCTTTTAAATTTCTTTGAAGATTGGAAGTTACAGCTTATCTAGTTTGCATGAAGATGGCTGTCTCTTGTGTGACTGTGATGTTGGTGGCTCCACCACCTACGACTGTCCAGATCCGCTAGGTCAGTGCACATGTCGACCGCACCTAATTGGGAGAACCTGCAGTGAAGCTAGTCCGGGCTACTATGTCCCCAAACTAGATGGCATCATGGTAGAGGGAGAACTGCCTACTACAATAAGTACAGGGGTAAGTATGTTGGTATTTACTGTATTATATTTGTGTTTTTGAATAGAAAGACATTTTTAGACCGATAATAATTTTGTTTTCCAAAAACCAAAAGGTCCACTGATTAATCTGAGATAAGAAAGTATAATACATACTCCAAGTATTGAAATACACGCCATCGTGTTGGGATTCAATATTTCGACATTAATTATGTCATCATCAGGAATGTCATCATCCTGATGATGACATAATTAATGTCGAAATATTGAATTTCAACACGATGGCGTGTATTTCAATACTTGGAGTATGTATTATACTTTCTAATAATTTTGTGTTGCCCAAGCTTGTCATTACCCAAAATCCATTTCTTACCTAACCTTAGATACTTGTGTGATGTATGAAAAACCATATTTTGAAGCTTTAATTAATAAATGTGAAACAATAATCATGGTTTAAACTTAGTTATTACTATTTAATACCAACCAAATTTCATTGCTGACACTTTGCATTGAATTGTAAATGTGAAAAAAAATTGTTAAATTATATACATCATGGTCTTTGTAATTTAGATTAGGCCACTGAAGACAGGTGGCAGCCTCAGTGCATGTCCCACCATGGTCATTACACTGGGTCGGGGTGGGGGGGGGTGCCTCTTACTCTTTTCAAATACTGCACTTAGTTCTTTTCAATTACATGTGCTTATGGCTGGCGCCAAGATTTGACGGATGGTGAGACCGATGTCCCCAAAGAGAAAAAAATGGCGGTTGATTTTAGAGTTTACTGATGTGTCAAAAATACCTATGATTTGTTTTTCTCTGTGACGAATTGCAGGTTTTTTTCACTACAAATATTTATGGTGTATTTTTTTAATTTCAGGAGGTTGTGCTAGAAGAGCGTGCTGGACATGGTGTAGGTGGAACGGTCACTGGTCAAGGGTTTCTGGTCGTTGGTCAAAATACCATGCTCACCTACTCAAACCTTGAAATACCGAGAACTATGAATTATCAAATTGTTGTACGTTATGAGGTAAGAATTTTATCTTTAAAATTATTAAAATCAATGAGAACTGAGTTCTTGTAAAATTGTTTTTTTCTTTGACGTATTTGTGTTAATGAAGTGCTCAATGAAAAATCATAGTCAACGAAATGAAGCAGTTGAAAAGCCCCATTGTTTTGCTTTGGATTTTTTGACTGTTGCTATTGTTCATAAAGCCATTCCAATGGTTCTAACCTGGCAGAGTATGGATTTTTTTTCTAGCTCATGTTGTTAACTGGTTTTGATAAATGTATATTGAAAAGTATTGTGTATATTTTGTTGTAAAGTCTGAAAGTGTTTTTGGAGCAGTGAGTGTAAACTTCATCCAGTTAACACCAGAAGCATACACATGTACCGGTACAGCCTACGATGGCAGTACTCTTACTGCTATGCAAGACCTGATGGAGATGGGAGAGGGAGGTAAGTAAATTGGAATTTTTATAACAATCATCATTGTTGCAGATATTCCACTCCATTGAACTCAATATTTGGGAGACATAAGTTATCGTTGTTATCATCATCATTAACATCATCATCATGATTGACTAATTCAAGCATTTTAGTGAAATCAGGAGATTGTGATAATGATGGTCATTATCATCATCATCATCATCACAAGCACCATGATCACCCTCCTCAGTGCCATCATCAATTTTTTCACTGTTGTCATCTTTGTCATCATCATCATTCTTATCACCTCATTCATTCTTATTTAATTTGTAGGTGTGATGCTGTTTGGTGCCCTTTGCTTGAGAGGTGGTGCCGCCTATAATGTCACCGTCAACATCGGAGCAGGCTCAATGGGTGCAGGTTCCGAACTCTTGCTTGATTCAGTGAGTAAACACACAAAAAACACTAAATTCTCATGAATATCGCTGCTAATGTGTCTTATGAATAAGAATTGGCGCAGTTACTCTGACTCCATAGAGCGCATACTTCTGCTTTGTGCCTGAACAATACAGAGGCTGTCACGATGTGCAATTCCATTTAATATTTTCGCCCTGACTGAATATCGAAACAAAAGCAGGTCGTGTATGATGGGCAGATCCATTATTTTTCTTTTATGCTCGAGGGTAAAAAATTGCATTTTCTTGACCTTTCAACTTTTCTTCCCAACATTTAATCATCTCTTGGATTATTATGTAGCATTCCACTAAATTTTTTGATGATCCATTCCTTAGTTTTTAGTCTTGCTAACAGACAAACAGACAGACAGCGGTGAATACTTAACCTCCTTTGACTGGGGTAATTATGTACAACTGCTTTTTGTTTCAGATTGTTGCCCTTCCTGTATTGGAAGAAGTGTCGGCCTACACTGCTAATACAACATCAAACAGCACCAAGATTGGAATGGAGGTTTGCTGGAATCATGTCATCGGTGTTAATGATACTATGAGGGCGCTATTGAACTGCTCAGATTATGAATTCTCCATCATGGCGGAAGTGTTTAATGGGGCAAAACGTAATGATCAGCAAGTTATTTTAAGCTAATTAATACATGACTGGTTATTTGCTTTTTTTTTTCTCAATCAAATGTTCATCATCTGCTTAAATATGTTTTATTGGCATGCTAGGAAAACACTGAGGGAGGAATTCTAGATATGGGCTGTCGACAATCAATTATGATTTTATACTATTCTTCTAATGTATTCAATTTGTTTTTTTCAATTTTATTTTTATCTCATATTAGCAACTAGAATATAACTTATGTCTTTTACCAAGTTGTAAAATATAGGTTTAACTCAACTGTCTCATTTCTTATGCTAATCCAGTTTAAATTATCAAGATTTACGTCATACTTCATTGGTTTGTAAATTCTTTTTAAAGCATGTTCGTGTAACTCAGCAGGAACAGTACGCAACACGCGTTGTGATGACCACGGTGGGCAGTGCCAGTGTAAAGACGGCATCATTTCTTTGTCATGTGACTATTGCGCGGCTCATCATTATGACTACGAGTCTGGTGACGGTTGTACAGGTAATGTTCTTGCTGTCATTTTGTTGTATTTTAATAAATATAAATTGGGAAACTCTATATCTTTTTCTTTTTGCTCTCATTTTCACACGACTAAAAGCAAATTGACCAGTGATCATGACTTACATGATACCGTAGTAAACATGTTATCTCAATCTTATCAGGTACCTTTAAATTAAGCAAATTTAAATGTGTGTATTTAACTTCATTTTAGCTTGCAACTGTGACCCCAATGGCTCTGTAAGACTCGCTTGCAACTCTACTGGAGGATGTGAATGTCACCCTGAGGTTATCAACGAGAAATGCGATTCATGTCGACCACAATATTACGGGCTCTTTGACGGTAAGTTGTTGGGTGAATGTACAGTATCTGTGCTACTGGAAAGCTTCTGTTAATGGTGTATTGTTCTTTTGAAACTGATAAATACTACTATCACTAATAATAATAATAACAATGTTTACTTGAAGCTGGGAGCGTATTTTTTTTATGTGTGAGAGAACTTACCCACCGAACCGCTGGTGTATTTTTTTGTCATTAAATTTTGTGTTAAAAATTGTTACTGTTTTTTCAGGTGATGGTTGTGTGCCTTGCACATGTAATTTGCAGTATGCATATGACAACGATTGTGCTGATAGTGGACAGTGCTCATGCAAGCCTGGTGTGGGTGGACAGGACTGTGTGGAGTGCCTACCAGGGTGAGACTTCTGTTAAAGTTAGAATGTCCAACAC